CAAGAAATCGAGCAAGATATCCTAGCAAGTGTCGAAGTACTACAGCAAACTCGAAACGAAATGCTTCGCATGCGCGAAGATGATGTTGCTATGGAGGGAATTATATCAGCAGCGACCGAGAAATGCGAGTCCTATGGAATCAATGTGGAGTACGAATTTTCAAAACGACACCGACCACGGAGAGCACCTGCCCGTTTCGACGAAAATTTTGCCAATGCTACCGTGCCTAGCTTTAGCCAACACTATCGGAAAGAAATGTTTAAGGTATTAGATCGTCTTGTATCGGACATAAACGAAATTGATGAATATTTATCTGATATTGTGCTACCTATAATTATTTTGCTTCCAGCAAATTTACCCAATTGTTCCAAGCAAGAAGTGGAAAATTTATGCGCAGCATTTCCACAGGACTTCAAAGATCCAGACGCTATGTGTGCAGAGATTAAGTTAATATCTTCCGATATCGAGAAAAGTGGTGCCAAAAATCTGAAGGAAGCAGCGAAGTGTGTACTTGGAAAACAACAGTTTTATCCCAACCTGACGAAAGCGTACCAGCTTGCATTAACAATTCCAGTTTCTGTCGCAAGTAATGAGCGTTCATTTAGTAAACTAAAACTTGTTAAAAGCTATTTGCGATCAACGATGAAAGAAAACCGTCTTGACGACTTGATGATTTTATCTTCATCTGTAGATATATTAGACGAACTTGAGTTGGATAAAGTAGCTAACTCGTGGTCTTTATATAAATCAAGAATGATAAAAATCTAGTTTTGCTAAAATTATTATTAATTAATTCCTAAGGTATATGATATGTGCAATAGGTACCATACTTGAAAATTACCAAATATGTATACTCAAATTACAACTTTTATCCTATAAAAATTTGTATTGTAATGTTCGACAATTGGAAAGGGAAACGCCCTTTTCGTCCGTAAAAATGGGATGCTACACCCCCCCACTAGAAATGGCCCAGGAACGCCACTGCAATTGACTCTATCTGTTGCATTACTATCTCAGCTATAACTGCACTAACAGGTGATCCCATGGCGCATCCCGACTTCTGATGATAGTGTGTCTCATTGAATTTAAAGTAACAATTGCTAAGTAGGAATTTTAATAGTTTCACAACTTGTCCTTCTTTCAGTGCTGTATGTGACTTCCATGAATCAGTTTCTTTAAGTTTCTTCTGTACAATATGCTAGGCAAACGGAACAGGTATAGATGTAAATAAGGAGACAATATCAAAGGAGACGATAGTTTCATCCGTCCCTAACGTTTGACTTTTAACAAAATCAGCGAATTCTTTCCCATTATCTATTGAAAACCCGTTTTTTGCGCAAAAGGTATTTAACAATTTTGCAAGGTATTTTGATAGGGGATATGTAGGTGAACCAATGTTGCTGTTAATTGGACGCAAAGGAATGACGTCCACAGAACTTTCGCTCAGGGTATAGTGGTCTTGGTTGCAGATGAGAGACACTAGCTTTATGGACTTTTGGCAAACCACGAAATGTAGCAGGAGAAGAATCAAAACCTCTTAGCTGCCAATATTCTCTATCAGTTATGTTTCCCGAGCGTCGAAGCTCTTGTGTCGAAGCTTTTGTGTGCCAGCTCGCATGTCGTTTTTTGCTTCGTCTGTAAGATCCTTGATACCTTGTCAACACAGAATTTAGCTCGGGGCGAAAGGAAAGCAATTAAAGCATGTCGTTTTTGGCTTCGTCTGTAAGATCCTTGGTACCCTCTCAACACAGAATTTAACTCGGGGAGAAAGGAAAGCAATTAAAGACATGAAGTCAGAGGACACGATTATCATAACACGCGAGGTTTTAATAGTTGTTTGTTGTCTTTCACGCTACACGGACGAGAATTAACGTGTACGGCTGCCACATCTTTGAACAAATGGTCAACAGTCGAAAAAATATGTCGAAAATATCAAAACAACAAGGATTCACTGCAAAAAGCCGAGATATTTTTATAAAAACCAGGGGGGGGGTGAAAACTGCGGCGGGCTCATATTTGAGCCTTGTTCAGTGGCAATTACCATGAATTTAGGGACCAGTAGTCATGGAAATGGCGTCATTTTTCATCAAAATCCGCCATTTTTCTGGCGACACTTCGTTGACTGAACGAAGTATAGGAGCAGGTCCTCCAGTTATTATACAGCTCAGTGTTAAATGGTTTAGCTTCTAACTTGTACTACTTCGTGTAAGGAAACATAATAATTGATTATGGCGGCCCTTGGCGACATTTTAAAATAACCTGTACCGCAGATCTTTCTGTGGTGCGTTCATTGCTCTGTATCTTTTGCGATGATACCTAATTATGAGATGTCGATCATAGTAGCTTGGTCGAAAAGTAAGTAATTTTATTTTACAAACTACAAAGTCGTATTTTGAACATACTATAGATGACTTTCTTTATTATAACTACAGACGGTACCGTTTCGGCCTTTAGGATACCTAGTGTACTTCACTAAGCTAGTAAGAGGTATTCTGTACTTTAGCACACGCCAGTTATCATGAATGTATCTTTGATAATAAGATCTAAGTTTGATTTCAAATACAACATTTAATGGCGTGTGATTGACTAATTTGACTGAGTTTCACAAAGAAACACATTGGAGAAGATAGCCATCTGGCTGCCTTAACAACATAATTTAGGTAATTCTCATTGGAATGATGCGTTGTAATTCCATATACATATAAACCCCAAATAACCAAGCCTCATTAGTACTGGTGAGAGATGGTGCCCTAACAGCACATGCCCTTGGTGTTTGATTACATGTATTTATAACAAAAAAACATGCAGGAAACTAACAAATAAATAAGGAATGGACGACAAACTGAAAGCCCAAAATTGGGCATGTGCTTGTGCGAGATTATGCGACATTAGGCGAAATTAGGCGACATTAAGCGAATAGACTGTTAGGCAAAGTTCAAAAATTGGGTGCACATGGGCGAAATTGGGCGAAATTAGGCGACATTAGGCGACCTTGGCCCCCAAAGTAGGCCTATCTCGAGCTCTCCCGCTGAAACGCGTTAGATCGAAATACACGATATGACTACACAACGTACTGTATTCACTATATCCGTATATCGTGATTCATATATTATTACTAGAATATACAGTATATGCATGCAGAAACCCTCGCCTTGCTGACAAAACCATTGTATTTTCCGAACATGAAGTATTTAAATTAGTATCGGTTGTCAAAGCGACACGATAATTTCATTTCACTTTTAATTACAAAATTATCAATTTCCCAAACATATATATGTTAGGTATGTTATTATACGCATTAAAAGCTTTAGTTTAATTAATTAAGGTGAAATTCAATCACAAACGTTTTAAATGTTGTTTATAAAACAAAACCACAATTACTTATTTTGTGACTAAACTGCCTTTATCGATAAACTTTGAGTTTGAAATAAAATTATTTCAAATTCTTGCATGCAAATAACAGTCTTTGCTTTTTTTTTATTTAAAAATTTTAATATAATAAAGAAGGGTATCAATATTAAAGATACACTGAAATTATATGCCCTTTTTTTTCATTTAAAATATACGCAACGGTCAGCTTAAAGCAATTAGCTGAAAAGCAAACAATACATCAACATTTAAAACTTACATCCGTTAAACGCCGGCGCCTTTGCTCCCTTCTATATAGCAATTCTTTCGCCTTTTTTCTCAAAAAGCTTTTGAAATTTACAAAATCTTGCAAAAATGAAATATATTTGCAAGAAATCGTCAAATCAAGAAATGTTTGCTATTTAGCTGTCGTCATGCAGTCGTTATAATGCAAATTTTAAATTGGACCAACCATTTTCGCTATTCAATAGAGTCCACCAACGCCCGCGATCATTCATGCACTTTAGACTTCGCTAATGTTTTCTTTTCCTCGGAGGTAAATAGCTGGGCGGAATTAGTACCCTCGCCGTCGGCTACGGCGATACCACGGCGCTCCGTGCTGTTGGTTCGGGGATCATTGTGACTGCATGCCGTACGGCGTACGTCATAACATCAAAACCTTCATACTTCCTGTAAATAATAAATCACACATTAATCATACCACCAATGAATGTCAAGTCACGGTCTGAAATGTTTGCAAGTAAGATTGCTGAAATGAATTTCAAGTTCATACTGTCGCGAAGACGGTACGCATCAATGGCTGGATCCAAAATTAAAAACGATTGTCTATACACATGATTTAGATGTTCCACAAAATGCATAAACGAGGCCAATGGCTGCCATATTAGTGACACCTCCACAAATCTGTTGTGAACATTGCTGACATGTAAGACGAGGCTCTAATGGTAGTGTATTTTCAACGTTGTATTTAACGGCGACAAAAATAAACATGAACTGTGGGAAGTTAAGTTGCTGCCACATATCAGGCTGCAAAATGAAACGAGATATTCGTGCAGAGACGATACAGAATGCAGATGTTTTTGCGGAGTTGGTTCAATAGTTGGTTCAAAAGGTTTGCTTCATGTAATACGAAAAGCAACAGACAAAGGACGTGTGAAACGGAGGAATAGCGGACGAACTCGAAAAACAGAGAGTTCGAGAGACGAAAATATCAAAAACTACAAGAAGGAACTGTAGTTGAGAACAGTGAAGTGCAGTCACCTACTTTCACAGTTAGAGACATTAATATTATAAATGATTCGGTGAGAATATCTAACAATTATGTGAATGAGGTTGAGCATGACGAGAAGAACTATCAAGATCGAAGTTTGTCAGACTATGGTCGGAAGTGAGGTAAAATAACCAGGAAGCTTTAACAAAATATTAAAGCAACCCAAATCATACTCCTGCTCAGGCTCTTTCGTCTACGTGTAGGAAAGAGCATGGGTAGAGGGTAAACCAAAAAATTTTAAGCCAGTGTATTTTCAGAGTGTAATTTCTCCAAATATGTTATCACGTTTGTGCATCATATTTTTCCTCGGTCTATAGATAAAATTAAGTAGCAGGAAACAAAGTAAACATGTACATCGTATTATTATCACTGTCCATATTCGTACAACCACTAACAGATCCTGATGCAGAGATAGCCAAATACTTTGATGGATACGATTTAGAGCAAATTGCGATAAATGAAGTTGTAATCTTTCCCAGGTCAATGAATATTGTGTCTTTTATTTCATTTACCTAGATGGAGGATTAAATTTAAGGATATTACTTATTATTATTAAGATTTTTGGGATGAAGGATTTCGCACAATTGTTTCAACTACAATCCTGAATAAAATCATTGCACACACTCTAACAAAACATTTATCTGCGACATTTTTTACTATTCGACTGGAGTAATTTACACGTTCCCACTGCCTCTCTGCCCAGTCCTAAACAACGTTGAATGTATTACAAATGCTTTAATAAAACAGTTTTCTGAGAATGCATCAACATTTAATGGTGGCTGCAAGGGAGAGATTTTCCAAAATATGCAATAATGATGGTAGTTTATAGAATATGACCTTGACAAGTTATTTCGATTACAAAATCTTTAAAAATTATGCATGAAAGGCTATACTATGGCAAAAAAGTGAATCGTAGAGGCCGGGCGGTGGACTTAATATACATCAAATTGTCAGGTACCTTGATAATTCAGAAAACACCTCCTAATTTGGACGCCATGAATGCATTAAAATTGCCTTCCAAGCTTTCAAGAGAAGCTGAGAAGGCCCTGGCCGCAGTTTGAATTTAACACCCAAAATTATGGGTTGTAATAAACTAAGATCACTTAATTTCAATGCGCGAAACTGATTTGTTCTTCAAAATTTCCTATACTTGATAGTATACAATATAAGGTAAATTTTATATGTTTTTAATCCTCGAGATATAAGCTATCGGAAAATGTTTGAATCAAGTTTTATACAATCAGAAAATTTAAAAGTTTGGGGTCAATTTGGAAGCCGCTTGACCAAAATTTAATTGTTTACAACATGACAACAAGATAACAAATCTTATTAAGCTCATACAATTTTTGTTGTAGAGACTTTAGTTTAGACAGTAAGCATCAAATTTCGTCCGAAAATGTGGTGAAAACTTGCTCAAAACTTTACATACTTTATATAATCTGTATCGCTATACAACCAGGAGTTTAAAGTGTGAATGAGGTATATTGGTTCAGTATTTTAAAAGTTATCTAAAGTTTTGTACTGAGAATTTCAAAATATTTACATATGACAACATGTCATAATACAGCGCAACAGCTAGCGCTAAACTTTGGATAATTTTTAAAACACTTAAGCAATATACTTCATTCAAACATTTTTAAACTCCTGGTTGTATAGCGATATAGATTATATAAATATGTAAAGCTTTGAGCAAGTTTTCATCAAATTTCCCGACGAAATTTGATGCCTACTGTCCAAACTAAAGATTTATAGTAGTAAGTCTCGACTGACGTGAGACTGACGTGGAAAGGCCATTCACTTTTCTTCATTTTAAAAGATATTTTCTATCTCAACACGAGACACATTATATATTTTTTAAATTAAATCCTTATAGACGATTTTCTTTCAAAAGATAAGTAAACAAAGTCTCTACAACAAAAATTGGATGAGTTTACAGAAGATTTGTAATCTTGTTGCCATGTTGTAAACAATTAAATTTTAGTCAAGCGGCTGCCAAATTGACTCCTAACTTCTAAATTTCTGATCGTATGGACTTGATTCAGACATTTTCCGATGGCTTATTTCTCGACGATTAAAAACATATTAAACTTACCTTGTCTAATTGTCTTGGAGCAGCAAGTATAGGAAATTTTGAAGAACAAATCAATTTCGCCCACTGAAATTAAGTGGACTTAATTTATTACGCCCTATTAAAAATTTGGGTTGTCAAATTCTAGCCGATGCCAGGGCCTTCTCAGCACGACGGCCCTGGGGAAGAGATTGTCAAGCTTTCCATTTTTGTGCGAAAACCATTTTTCATTTTATTTTTTTTTTAAGACACCCCCCCTGCACTTAAAAATTAATTTCCAAAATAATTTTAGTGTCAATTATATACTAGCAGTCCCCAAACTACCTTTGCATAAAGTTTTCACAAACTATGCAGTTTTTTTATACACGCTGTAGTTGTATAAATGGTCAAATTCACAATTTCAGACTAAGGACTTCTTCTGCCTAATTCTGAGAACTTGGATATTTCCCAACATGAATATTTTTAAATTCTTTACAAACTTCAAATTGTGGAGCTGCTCCTCGTTTAGCTAAAAAAGACTCCAGAAATACTTGCCACTAAAGTAACGTTTCCTGTATTGCCCATTGCCAGATATTTCCCCATCCTTATTGCTTTGATTCTAATTTCTCCGTTAAACCCAACTGTGTGTATCTCTAGTTTAGCTGCAAAAACAAGTATATTTACTAAATAAACATAATATTTACTATTTACAATTTCCATTCAAATTGGGACTAAATCTTGTAAATAATTAACAACATTGTGCTAGGAGGAGAGGGAGTGGGCAACTATTTCTAGCGATCACGGACGTATTAACTAATACTGCTTAAGGTATAAAATGACCTCACAAAATAGTGAGGACTGAATAGTTTTCAGATGAAGTGTACCGATATATGTAATTTCCATGACTGTAGAAACTTCGTCATACATAGCAAATTACTAATTAATTTAAAGGAGATTGGAACTAGAAAAACAGTTTGCCTGAAAGCAATGAGCTGTCTGCCATCTTGGGGTAATTCTTGACCTAATTAACCATGGTTTTGATGACACAATGGGTGGAGTTAGCCGTTTAATTAATAAAATTACTTGCAAGTGTTAGAGTAAATATTAAAAGCTGTATAGAATGTTTCCACTTATAATTTGAAGAAGCAATCAAAAACATTTTTTGGTCTGATATAATCGTCCTTGGCTGTTAAGATAAACACATCCCGTGACCCCGCTTGTGTCGTTATCACTTTTCGGAACATTAGCGTTTTGAAGAGGTAAGATGGGAACTAAGGTTTGCTTGTTGTTTGGACGGAGAAAATGGGATTTGGGTTGCTGGGACCAGGAAGAACAGACAAAAAAATGGGAATGAATGAAAATATACAGTCATTATACACACATTGTAGTTGCGTATTGTAAAGGTTACGCGGCAACCTTTAGTAGAGAGTTTTTCTAATAACTTCCAAAAAGACTACATTCTGCCATTTGCCGGCTCAAGGTCGTTTCTTCTGCAATAGCCGACCAGTGATTTGCCAAGTATGTGACAAAAATTATTGCATGCAACTACTTATACAAATTTTCTTTAAAATTTACCGTTGAAACTGCGATTGGGTAAAAAAATGGCAGGGAAAATGGATGTAGAAAAAGAGTGGGTAAGACTAAGAAAGCATGTTCTTGACCCCCTAGAACCCTCTAACATGCATGTATCCTGAATAATCCAACATGACGGAGAACTCGGTGTTTTCAACCAAACTATTTTAAGAATTAAGCAAAATATGAACATGCTGTTATTAATTATTTTCCAAGCTCTTTCGTATGAGATAAACTAAGTTTGCACTGCCAATCACGCCATTTAAAGTTCGTGCTGTTGTTCAATCGAGCTGAAAGCCACTACAACGCTGCTGGTTTCTCTTATATCGTGCTATAATGCCAACCATTTATTAATTACGTGGCGATTTTTTGCGTATTTACTTCAGACATATGTAAACTTCAGGCGTACAATATAAAATATCTTCAATCTTTTTAGCATTGTTTTACAGATGAAACACTTGAAATTTGTTTGGCGATAATGAATAGGTAAAATTTTTTTGATGTTTTCGACATACTAGCAAAGTGGAAGATACTTATGTTTGTTAGTTTGAGCACATTTATCTGTACGTAACAAATTTAATGAGTTCGAGAACTATATTTATTTATTCAGGGCCCCATTTATAGAATATTCTTACCGTAAGGGCTGTTTGAATATTCTCCCGTTATTCCCCGTTTGCCAATAGTGAGATATCTGCCTGTTTTACTCACGACAGTGACATTCTTGAATGAATTCATTTTAGCTGTTGACTTCCCCTCTACTGCGATGCTTAGCTCGTGTACTATGAAAATAATTAAAAATAGTGCTGTTCTTCGCGAAGTGAAGTGTTCCGGAAAAATACGAGTTGAAGACAAAGACTTTTTTATGATAGATCTATTTGTCATTTCCTCTTGGTCTTTAAGTTTCCTTAAATATTCTTTAGCCTTTGTGGATGGCTTTAAATCTCGAGTTCCCTTTCTCTTTTGGTCTGTCTCTTAAAGTGTCTTCTTGACCTTCAAGTGTTAACGACTTCTATTTGTCGTTTTGTGAGCTCTTCAAATCTGCCCTCAAACAAATCTCTTTAAATCTTCGTGTTTGATATCTCGTGGTTTCTCACTTTTTGTGTCCCTTGTAATTTATTCGCAGTCTTAATGTGTTGAACGCGTTTCTCCTTCCCTATCCTTGAAATGGGTTGGAGTTTTCAAAGCAAGGTAACTAAATTTGATATATGTTTTTTTCGTCCGTCCTTAATCTACCTTCTTCATGAGACCTTCGTATTGAAATCCTGTCGAGTCTCCTGCCGTCGCTGTCTTCTAGTGAAGTCAGCTAGCAACAAACTCTCGCTCTCGCCTCTTATAAATCCAGGCAGGGCCCACCAATTATATTCAACACCTACGTCTTCTCGATGACGAAGCAATGAGCTCAAAGACAAAGACAAAATACCTCAAAAGCGCCGTATGTTATTGAATTACACTGTTTTAGTTTAACGTAGAATCGATTTACGATAATTATAGGCGTTGTTCCCTAAATTACGCATCAAAACGATTTCGGAGAATGAACGTTTTTATCTCTAAATATTTTTGGGTTTTTTTGAAAAAGAGCACAACCACATTGTTGGCGCTTGCGCAATAGGGTTATTCTTCTTGTAATTTTATTGGGGCCCCCAATTTTGGAAACGTTCGCCATATCTGATATTAACTTATACTCGCTAAATTCGAGGATACAGTTTTGCAATTATTTTGTATACACGTATAATTGACTGTTTCCATTAATATTTGGAAACAGGGAACAATTTTACCATAGCTTTCAAATAGTTCCTGATAATATTTCCCTTTCCGACCTTAATTTAGTAATCACAATTACTTCGCTATTGTACTAGATTGACTATTTGTATTGTGTTAAAAAAGAAGGTACATAAATTTAAAGTCTGTCATTACCAACAAACCAACTGATAACCTTTTAAACGTGTCGCGGTGGAAGTTCATTGCTTTGGATTCTCATGTATCAAAATTATGTAGTTATCTGCCATGCAGGCAAGTGACTGGTTGACAAAATAACTCGGCTATTCTGATTTTTTAATGCATGAAACCTGCAACAAATCGCGTTCAAATATACCGTCCCTTCAAGCGATAACATCAGTAATATTTGTATAATTTATTTATATGATAAAAAGGTATCCTCTTCTGTGCGTTCATTCCGTCGAATTAGCGATCAGTTCTTTTTCCCATTTGCAGAAATTCTTTCCTCATTTTTTTCACAAGTACTTATTTATAAGTACTTAGTCATATACTTATTCATCTTCGCCCACATTTGAATAATTATATTTCAGTGATTATGCTTCTATTCCTTTTCTTTTAATTATTTGGAGGTAATTCAAAGTTGGAATGTTTGTGTGCGAAGCTTGAATAACATATGGGGTGCGAATTATATATACTCAATAACATTCAATGCTACTTTTTTGAATCAAGAAACAGAAGGGCATCCTGTCACTATAGAAATGTAATTTAAAATGCGAAGTCGTATTGCTAAATTGATGAAATTTTTAAAATTTCTGGGTCTATTTCCACATCGCGAACGCTTGTTGTACTTACTAGGTGGCCAAAAAGGTTTCTGATGACTTTTAGTTATAGAACCTGGGCTTCCCAAGTTTTGAAATTTTAGACGTAGTTGCATGCACTTTTGACGAAGAAACATGAATTCAAATCACTGCAATTCATAGATTTATTACATGGCATAAAAATTCAAAATGTCGCCACTGTATAGAATTGCTAGAGAAAAAAAAAATTCAGTAATTTTTCATAAAACGCAAATATAAACTAGAACAAATTTCGCGACAAATTGATAAAGCTAACGGAGTTCCCTAGCTCGATAGATTATCAACTCTTATTCCCGGTACAAGCTTTTATTAAATCCCAATAATTGGCCAAAGTAAGCCTTTATTTTGGCAATAATCAGCACAGGGAGCCCATTACGGGTCTTATTGAAGTTATGTATTAGAATTACGTATGAAATATATAGCTCTGTGTTGAAGCCTGCGATTTTTGGGCTGTGTGCGGGCTAACGCGCGGGTTGAATACACAATAAAGAAAAGAAGTTACTATCACAAGGAATGTGCTGCCTCACCTCCAAAGGATTAAAGGCAGCATGCCCAATAACCTGAATGAGGGGCTGTTTATAGGATACCGCTTTGCCAGGACGAGAAATGAGGCAGGATGATTTGTCGTTTCTATGTATTGAAATCAGTCACGGTGCACAATTCAGCGAATTAAAAAACATCATTATCTCCTAGAGATAGATTACAGTAGAGATAGATTAAACGAAAGGTTGTTCTTGAACTACAAGATCTTCCTAGTATATCAAACATCTTGCACAAAGTCGAGAGTCAGATTCGGTTTTATCGGCCCCTAGGAATATATACAGCTTATAACTTCTTGCTTTTGTATGCATAATTATAATACTGTCAGTGGTGAAGCTATAGCCATAGCAACAGGTCATGTTATGCAAGTTTTTAATGATTTGCATTATTCAAACTAAAACCTAGTCGAAACGTTGATTAAAATGCTAACTATTTTCAGAGTGTCTATTGTTTTGTTCTTTTTAAAATACTGTACAATATCATAGCGATGATCGCCTGATGATTCTTTCATCATCGCCTGATGATTCTTTACTGATGAAACAGACTGTTGCGGAATTTTGAGGTAAGCGAAATTCTACACCTGCTCTATCGTTATGATATTGAGCACTATTTGCGTTTCGTATACACAAACCTACTCGTATATATATATATATATATATATATATATATATATATATATATATATATATATATATATATATATATATATATATAAATAAGTGCAACGACTCAACAAATTCCACTAGGCATCTTTATTACTATTAGTTTCGTACCACAAGATGTGGCACTCATCAGATAAATTAGCCTAATTAATAGGCTAATTTATCTGATTAATTTATCCTAGGCTAATTTATCTGATGAGTGCCACATCTTGTGGTACGAAACTAATAGTAATAAAGATGCCTAGTGGAATTTGTTGAGTCGTTGCACTTATTTAATTATGCTC